ACACCTAGAGAGCCTTCTAGTTAGGAAGCTGTCATGTATCTGACTGCAACTTGAACAAAGGCTTCACTATACACTCAGTAGTTTGGAAAGTTGTAGTTTAAAAATATAGGGCAGGAGTAATATTCCACAGCAAAGAAGAGTCAGCAGTAAACAACCCAACTTTTGATCTTTTCCTATTAGAAACCAGATTATAAAGAAGCTCTATAACACAGAACTCCAGCTATTCCTCAGGGGAAAAAAAAAAAAAAAAAAAAAAAAGCAGCTTCAAAATGTTATTGTCTTTCTGTTATAACAGACAATCTACTGAAGCAGGAAATACACACAGATAGAGGTGGACAGCCAGCCCAAGATTTAAAGATGATTTCAGATGATTCAGATTTTCTCTTTGACTAGCAGGTGCTGGCTGAGTACACACAATGCTAGTGAGCAGGGAGGAGCATTTCAGAAGCCACTGAATCACAGAACGACAGCACTGCAAGAGACACACTGCAAGCTGGCACGTAACACACAACCTAAGTGACAAAGAAACAGAAAAACCCCAAACAAACCCAAACACCTTTCTCAGAAAACACTTCAGAGCATTTTAGATGAGAAGAGAAGAGGCATTCATTATCACCACAGTAAAAAGACTGCAACAGACCTTCCATGAGGAAAGGACCACCTGGCCAGCACACAATACAGTAGGAAAACTAGACTACTACACGTAGTTTCTGGCACAACAGGTAAGAAGGCCCTCTTGAGTCATCCAAGGCTCTGCTATCACTTACACCCACAACATGTCACACCCCTCCAAAGTGGCAAACTGCCACCTTCACACAACAAAGAAATGTTCTGTGTTTGCTCTAGATTGGATTTTTTTTATTATTTAAAGTAACGGAATGGGATTGACTATTCTCCAGTTTTCAGCAATCTCTCCTCTTATTCCAGTGGGAGCTGTCTTCAGCTACGATAATGATGACCCTCTTTGTAGCTTCATTGACCAGCCCCTTCTTAGACCCATTTGGAAGGCGGGGGAAGAAGACAGGGAAAATGTCACTGCAAGGAAAAATGAAGAAAAGGCTGCTACCCATGCAGCTTTCTGTTGGCCCTGCTTTCCTAGAGATTTCACAAGAAAAGAAGCCCAAGCTTGCAAAGAAAAATCATTGTCATATAGGGGCATGATTGAAGGACAAATGCAGCCTGCCCACCTCAGATTCAGAGGACAGAACTTGTATGGGCTTGTAGAATCATAGAATCCTAGGGGTTGGAAGTGATCTCGAAAGATCATCTAGTCCACCCCCCCTGCCAGAGCAGGGTCACCTAGAGCACATCACACAGGAACATGTCCAGGTGGGTTTTGAATGTCTCCAGTGAAGGAGACTCCACAACCTCTCTGGGCAGCCTGTTCCAGTGCTCTGTCACTCTCACAGTAAAAAAAAAAATTCTGATATTCACCTTGAACCTCCTATGCTCCAATTTGAACCCATTACCCCTTGTCCTATCACTGGTCATCACTGAGAAAAGCCTAAATCCATCTTCCTGACACTCACCCTTTACGTATTTGTAAACATTGATGAGGTCACCCCTCAGTCTCCTTTTCTCCAAACTAAAGAGACCCAGCTCCCTCAGCCTTTCCTCATAAGGGAAATCATCTTTGTGGCTCTGCACTTGACTCTTTCAAGCCATTCCCTGTCCTTCCTGAACTGAGGGGCCCAGAACTGGACACAATATTCCAGATGTGGCCTCACCAATGCAGAATAGAGGGGGAGGAGAACCTCCCTGGACCTACTAACCACACCCTTTCTAATGCACCCCAGGATGCCACTGGCCTTCTTGGCCACAAGGGCACATTGCTGGCTCATGGTCATTCTCCTGTCCATCAGGACCCCCAGGCTGCCCCCTCCCTGGAAGTGTGCAAGTCTAGGTTGGATGGGGCTTTGAGCAACCTGGTCTAGTGGGAGGTGTCCCTGCCCATGCAGGGGGGCTCAAACTAGATGATCTTTAATGTTGCTTCTAACCCAAACCATTCTATGATTCTATGATCTGCCTTATCCCTTTCTCAACACTGAACCAGCATCAGTAAACATCTGTCACGGTCAGACCACAAAATACTGAGGAACGCAAATCAGCCTTTGATCTCACTGCTTTCCTTCACAGTTGGAACACTCTCCACTTTGCAGAGCAAGGCTGTCTGCATTTGCATTTATGTATGTGACTTCCAACACACACACAGAGGCCTCAAACTTCTCTTGAAAGCAGCCAATGGCTGACTGTGGCGTGAGGATCTACTGGTGTGAAGGGCCTGTACCACACATTCTGGGTCAAGATCTGTTATCTGTTACTGTGCTTAATAGTTTCTCTTTTATAGAATTACTCCATCCTCAGTGTGTACCATTTTTCTGTCCTCCTCCAACACCATCTAGTGGACCCAAGCCAGTGGGCCAAGAACTCCTCTTGCTCCCTTTACACCTCGAGCAAACACACAGTTATAAAGCAAAATGGCTAGAGACAGATTCATCACCTCAGACAATGGAGAGGGTTAGCCCTCTTTCTGAATTAAATCTGCTTCTCACTGAAATCCAACCTGATGAACAAATCCTTACAACAGGAGTAAAACCCCAACAACAAACCCCAAAACCGTGAAAGGTGACCCTCATTTTAGTTAAATGGTCCAAATCACTGATCAATTAAAGCCTATTTTCTTCATTTCAGGGCAGAGAAAACCAGCAGCATTTATCTGAGACGCAGACAAAACCAGCCAATCTTGTTTTTGCTGATACTCAAAATGATCAAGAGAGGACTGACAGCACCTCTAACATTCCATTTTCTCTCCATAAGAATCCTTCTTTTGGAAGCAAGAATGTTAAAAAAGCTAAGATTTACACTTTAGGAAAACAAGTGCTGATACAGGAGGATAGAGCAAGTGCACAGGATTAAAAACACAACCTATGATTACTCTGCCAGCTCCTGAAAGAAGACAGAAAAACCAAAGCAACAACCAAACCACACTAGATAAAACAACAGCAGTGCTTCCTCTCCAAGTGCAGAATAGCACCTTCCAGTCCCTTTTACCTCAGCTGAAGCTTGTGTGCCCCACTATTTCTGACAAATGAGGAACGAGACAAGCTGAGCAGTTAGGCCTTATCTACCTAAGTCAGAGATAACTAACAGCTCTGCAGAAGCACCTTATCGGTACGTATGAGCAGCAAGGATTTTCATTTACCCGCAGATACTGCACAAAAATACCACATCCCTCTCACAGGGTTAGAATCAGCCCAGACATTGTAGAGAGGGAAAGCACCTGTTTTAGAAGGAAAAGTGAAAGATAACTCAACAGCGGGAGAAAGAGGACTATCTTGAACAGCCCACTGCTGCTTTTTCAGTGATCCTGGTTTTCACCATCATCCTTGTTTCATTTTGTAAAGATACAAATGATAATGATCAAAGGAGAAGTAGGTTGATCTGTATCACAAACATGACCAAAAAAATAAAGAAAATACTACTAGCAGATATCCCTGATCTTCAGGTAACTAGTGATGAGGGCTGTTTGCTGACCCAGCAAACACAGCCTGTGTAGAAGAACCTACTGAAAAAAAACACAAAACCAAAAGCACAAAACAAGATAAAAAACCAGCCATGAGACAAAAATGCATACTGTGTCATTCTCATCCAAAGTATCTCAAAGAACCCTTGCCATGACAGACATATTCATTTTGCCAGGATTTATTTCTTCTAAAACATACTTGTTATATTAAACATGGAGTAAGGAAATGAGGGGAGTTAAGGCCTCAGAATTAAACAATTTAATTGAAAAAACAATGTTCCAACACAAGACATGCCACCCAGTCTGGCTAAAGTTGCAGTTATTTATAGGAAACACATAGACAAGTTGAGAACTAATTAGAAATTATGGGGTGTTACACCCTCTGATGATGAGCAGGAAAAAATGTAAAGTTAGCAGGAGCCCAAGAAATTAATAATAATAAAAAAATAATCTAACCAAACATCTTTGTTTCTAGTGACATTTCCCTGGAAGCAGAGAACAATCCAGACATTGGCTTTTCTCTCCCTAAGTAAAATTCACTTCAGACCATTCCCTAATCCTCCCATCAGATGCATGCAATGCTGAAAATGTCTAAGTTTTTAAAATTATTATTTCATTTAATTAATAGGCTTGGGACAAGATGGGAAAAGAGCAGCACCTTTTTAAAAAACCCTGTTGTGTGCTATATTAGATAAATAGGTGAGTTTTAAAAAAAGTTAAGTTTATATATATACATATACACACATACACTAAACTAAATTAAAAACAAAAACTTGTGAGGGGTCATCTTCAACACAGGTAGAGGGAAGCCTTATTTCACAGCAAGCAGAAACACCACAAGTGAAAATTTGAGTGCACAATCATATGTAGTGCAGATACAAACTAGCCTGGGTCCTGGAAGCAGTGTAGCTAGAGCAGCACAAAGCTCCACATGGGCCAACTTACGTCCTCAACAAAGGCAAGTGCAGAGTCTGCATTCAGGATGGTGTGCTGGGCAGGCACTCCCACAGCCAGCTGTTCTGCCTGCATCAGTTTTGGCAGAAGCCACAAAAAGTAGCGAAGTAGTGAGAGTAAGAGACCCAAAGTGAAGCTACAGGACTGATTTAGCTACAGTATTTCTGTAACAGAGATTTCTGAGTTCCCCCATGTCTCTTGGGTGGTCTCCATAGGTCCTGCCCACTTGGGTCACACAGCAGACAGCTCCTGATTTTTTATTATTTGTGTACTGTGATCCCCATTCTTGTCTATCTGCATCTTTTCTTTTCCTATCTGCATCCTCTCTTTTCCTACCTCTCTTCTGCCCCATAGCATCACTCCTACTTCCTCCAGGCTGACGGGGTCATAAAATTAGGAAGGGGCACATACATCTAACCAAGGGAATATTCACCAACTACATAAGGCTTAAAAATAATAATTCTTAAAAAAAACAACAACCAAAAACAAAACCAAAACACCCCCACAATTTAAAAACACGTTCAAGTTCTGCAGACTTCGGGCAGAGTTTGGTCATTTAGCCCCAAGGTCTTTGTCTTCAGGGCCTGTGGGCTAAATTGTCTCAACTGGTAAGAAGCACACAGTACAAGGTAAAATTCTGACTAAAAGAAACAAAAGTAGTAAGGGTTGGGGGAGAAGGGGCTAAAACCTGGAAACCTAATACTGCATTAGCAGCACTTATGCCACACGGTAGGCTTTCAAGAGAGTGAATTCCTTTCTGTTGGTGCGAGCTGCCCAGATGAAAAGAGCAGCTGCCATGAACTGCAAAGGTGCTGAGACACAGGCCAGGCAGAAAGACCAACCAAATTCACCCCTCACATCATCAGGCAGGGGCAGCTTCTTATGGAGCAGCTTAATCCCAGCTACATAGCAGCCAACCAGGCCCAGCGTGCAGAGCCCTGAGGAAGGAAACAGAAAAGCACGGTGAGCTCAACTTCAAAGTGCTCTGGCTGTCGCTATGAGCTTTTGGAGGAGGGAGGGTCAGGTGGTGGGTGGCAGGAGACTTACCTGCTAGGAAGTGGAGGACTCCGGTGGCAATGGCAGGGTAAAGGCTGCGACAGGCACAAGCACAGAGCCCAATCAGAGCCCCAAAGCACATGAGGCCAAGGCTGACAAAGGGCAGGAGAAACTGTAACCGCCAGAGATCTGCAGGTGAAAAATATACAAAACAAGTTTGCTAAAGATGTGCTGGAAACTGATCTTCTCCCACCTTATACTCCCTTCTGCCTACACTGCTTCATTTGTTAACTCCCGGTATTCTTGTCCATATTCATGGCCAAAACCATGCCAAAGCATTTACATTTTTCTTTTAAACATTTACCTACAGACTCTACTACTGTGAAGGGTAAAAAAGCAGAACAAGATACAGATGCTTCCCTCAATAGTGACTGTATTTGAGAAACATCTTTTTTGTCACACTACTTGTTTACCTGCCAGAAATGGAATACACTTACAAGTTCGATTCAAATCCGTGCCACTGTTGTGATTTCCAGGCTCTACATACTTTTCCATAAACTGATCAGAGAGGGAAAAACTGATGCAGTTTGTAGTCATGTCAGCTTCTGAGGGGCGGGGAAAAGAAAAAAAAAACAACATTAGATGTCTCCCTCCTACCCTCCCCTTCCAATTCCTCCTTTCCCAACCATTTAAGCCAAGAAGCTCCTCAGAAAAAAAAACCTGAGATACAAAACATTTTAGAGAAAACACAATACCTCTCAAACCAGATTTGATGCCGTATCATACAGCAATTAACATGACATAATTACTACAAGGGGCAGCATTCAAACTGACAGAATTTTCCAACTTTACCTGGATCATCCACAGAAAACTGTGTCATGCTTGCCAGACTGGGAAAGAAGTGTGGCATGTGATGTTCAACTATATCGCTACATATTCTTACAGGCAAGTCCCATAACTGAGCTGCGGTTATCTCCACGTGCAGGATGTAGTAAGATACTACATTCTCACTAAACTCTCCATTCAAATACATGGTAGGAAGGACTATTTAAAAAACATAAAATATGTGGTTTCTAATCCTAATTTTTTTCCCTTTTACGCCTCAGATTTTGCTTTGAAAGTGCTATTGAGCAGAGCTGGTTTAAGTGGCTTCCGGAATAAGTGTTTTCATTTAAAAAAAGGAAAGAAAAAAAGAAGTATTTAATGTGACATTTTTCTCCAGAAAAAGTGTTTGAAAGTACATTTTTTCCTAAGAGGGTTGAAAACAAAGGGCTTCACAAATACAGTATGTGTTCAAAATCTACTCTGAAGCAATTAAAATAATTGCTCACTGCACTTTTGTAGCCCCCAATCATTGTGAAGAGAAGAATACAAACATTCTACATCCAGCACTAGGACTGCAAAATGTGCTGATGCCACAGTGGGACATTTGTGACATGGGAGCAAAATTAATGACTACTAAAAGTAGCAAGTGCTCCTTTTATAAAGTGGTATCTTTATTGCATTCTTGGATCCCAGGACCTCTTCTGAAACAGTGACTGGCAGAGCAACAACTACTGTACTTCCAGCTGGACAGCAGATGCAAAAGAAAATGAAATTACACCAGAGGAAATTTAGATCAAGTATTGTGTGTCAAATCCAGAGCACTGTCAAATCTGTAGCCCTGACACACACAGGCCATTTTGCCTTTCAATTATTTCAAAGTTTAGACTGTCTTTATTAAAAAAACACCACCACATAAGCTAGAAAGAAGCCTTCTGGAAGAATAAAGCAGCATGAATATGTTGTGAGGAAGTTAGCACGCAGCACCCCAGGCAAGCTAGGGCAGTGTTAATTGCTCCAGAGGTACCTGGTGGGCTGTACCAGTGAGAGTTTTTGGGCACAGTGATACACCTCCGCCACAGTCCAACCGTGCCATTGCACCGGAAAAGCGTATCTGTGTAGGTCTTCTCATCTGCGTCTTCGCTGATGAATTCCTCCCAGATGCTCTTACCAGCCTCACTGATGTTCTCAGCTGGGGACAGGGTGTGGTATTCGTACCAAAAGTCAGTGCCAATGGAAGCTGCCATATAGATGGTGGAGATGAGGCTGAGAACGCAGGCAATGACGAGCGCTGTGGCAAAACGGTTATCCATCATTGCACGCCTGCTGCTGAAAGGAAAGAGATGCCCAAGTCACTCCTCTGACAGTAAAAACAAAGTTATCCCTACCAGTGTCAAACTCGTGACATCATTCCTCTCACACAATGTCCCTTCAGGATATGCATGTCTTCCTTTTCCAACGTGCTGGAATTAAAAGGAACACTGCAAGTTTACAACTCAGTGTCAGCTGGATCTGGGAGTTCAAGGCATGGGTACTGCCCTTCTCCCAGCCATGCTCTGCTGGCTGCTCTCCCCCCAAGACAGCAACTGGCAGAGCAGCAGCAGCAACTCTGTCCCCAGAGCAGATGGCACATCTCACTGCCCTTACTGATCCTGTCCGTAGGGAATGACCGAGAATGCATCCACAGGCAGAAGACTTATCTTTCCTTAAGAGATTACCAAGGATAGGTTTTATTTTTAGCCTGCCATCCTGTCCGGCTTTCACAGCTTGTGTTTACAGGAAAGAAAAGAACCACAAGCATGCCAAAAAAGCTCTTCCAGACTATTCACAAAGGATAGCCATGCCAAGGTGCCGAAATGCCTTTAGGGAAGTAGAGAATTGTATCTAGGCACTAAAGACAGAACAGGAAGGACTGAAAGACGAATTTGCAAATGACAAATACTGCAATAATGCCACAACATGTACTGTGTATTTCTGAAGAACTAAAACAACTAAGGGGGGAGGGTGCCCTACTCCATGGGAACAGGATGACAGGAGCTTTCAAAACTGAAGGGCCCCCGTGAGCTGGCATGAGGACCTTGCTCTGGCTCCCTGTATTAGGGGTCATTCATGCCTTCCTTTGCACTGTCATACACAGAAATGGCATAAATTCAGGGTCAGAGGAGGCATGGGAAAACACCGATAGCACACATGCTTGTGCTTTGGACAGTACTGTGACCTTAATAAGCAATTGATTGCTAATACATGGAATGTTTTGCAGATACTGCAATACATAAGAGGACTCACACGTGCCTGTCATTTCTCATACATTTTCTGTGCTTAATTAAAATTTATGGATTATGATCAATCAGGCTTGACAGACTTACAAAAAAAAAATAATCAATTGGAGTTAACCCAGCAACTCAAGCTACTCTGGTTACATGAGCTACCATCTAATCAGCTCTTGTCTGTTGCTTTTTCTACCTCCCTTCTCCCACATACTTTGATCAAAATACGTTGGTCTAGTTTCTTGGCAATGGAATAAACTGCACCTGGAAACAGCAAATGCCTTAAACCACAACATTCACAAGGAAAAACATGAGCTCCCAAGTCAGACCTACTGATAATAAATTTTGAACTATGAAACGAGGTACAAATTAAAGCAGGGAGTTTCAAAGACATCAATACTTGCTGCTAACAATGCTGCCCTTATTTCTTTTCCCTCTCATCTACTCCTTTATTTGGTTGAAACTGGCTAACAGGGCTGGGGAGGAGAGATAATGTGTACCCATATCATGCCCTATGCTTAATTTTCATATTCAAGGAGGGGTATTACAGAGAATATGCCTCATTTAACTACATCCTTAGCAACAAGCAAGAACAGAATTGATTTTTTGTGAACAGACAAGCAGCACCCATTTAAAGTACTACAAAGTTTGCATACCACAACTGTAATCAAGTAACAATCCACAGATTGAGAACTTTTAAAGGCTAGGACAAATACTGAGAGGGAGAAAACATTGTACATGGGCTTATTTACCCAGCAGAGACAGAATCCAGTCCAGACTTGAAAGCAAATACTCTATGCAATGTTTAATTCTTGGTTTTGTACTTCCATGCTCCTTTGATATCCTACCATCTAGCTCAAGGTATACAGGACACTGGATGAGCTGTACACAGAAAGTTCCTGCACAGGACTGACCTCACTATTCATCCCCACTGTGGGATTCCCTCCCCTTCAGAAACTTTTCACAAAGCAAACAGGGCAAGTGGCATCTCCAGGACGAAAGCTGTGCTGCCCAGCTCCTGCCCACCTAAGCTCAAAGCTGAGCAGATCCTCTGGGAACTCACTCTCTGGGCAATCAGCAGAACAAGCTGGCAAGCAGGCTAGTCTGGATTTTCCACTATATTGCAGTCACCTTCACTGCAAGAGGAACCCTCTGTCAGACTGCTCTCTTTAGAAAGAGCTCTCTCTGGAAGGAGGAATGGCAAGAACCGACAAGCTCCACCGTCAGAGTAGTGTTTGGAGAAAAAGAACATGAGTAGGACATTATTGGGCCATTGGTTTGCTAGTATTGCTTTCTAATATAAATGTTTACAATAACTAAGTTCTATCAACCTTGTATCTAACATACAGAAAGGAAGAAAATAACTCGCTCAAAAATCTTACTTTCTGATACAACATCCCTGCTGTCAGCTGCAGAACATGGGTGCTGGAAATATCCCCGTCAGAGCATCATTAAAACACAACTTCTGGCCAGCCTCTGAGACCTGGCACACAGTGGACCTGGTACAGTTGATGTCGGCTGGCAGCTCACAAGCAAAATTAAGGGTTAAACATCAAACAGTAAATAACATTACACACTTAGTAAAAGAGACATGGCTATTGACTGATGTCCTTGTAATGCACAGCTCCAGGGAGAGGTAGAAAGCAGCTGATGTGGCTACTGTCCCCAAAATCTAGCAAGTAGCTTTGTGTGGCATTTGTCCCAGAAACAAGACATGGATTTTCAGCATGGACAAGACAGTACTAATGTAAAAGCACATCTCCAATTCCTTATAATACAAGAATATTATTATTATATTATATATAATATCTAATGTATTATATTATACTACTTATAACTACTCTTTTCAGTAGTTCCCAATGACAGGACAAGGGGCAATTGGAACAGAGGAAGTTCCATGTAAATATGAGAAAAACTTCTTTATGGTGAGGACGACAGAGCACTGGAACAGGCTGCCCAAGGAGGTTGTGGAGTCCCCTTCCCTGGGAATATTCAAGACCCACCTGGATGCAGTCCTGTGGAATTGTGCTCTAGGCAATCCTGCTTTAGTGGGGGAGCTGAACTAGATGATCTTTAGAGGTCCCTTCCAACTCTGACAATTCTGTGATTCCATAATTCCTTACTTACAGAAGAGATGAAGAACTTTACAACACCTTAGGCAGATTTTTAACTAGAAGTTCTTCCTGACACACTTTAGTAGGCTTGACTGCCCAGCTCATCCACTGTGTATACCCACTGTCTCTTCACTTAGAGTAGAAAACCCCTATTTAAAAAAGGTGTCATTTGGTCTATTGGAGGGAACCATCCTTCCAGCCCCAGGCAGAGCTCAAAGGGGTACAGCAGTCAGTAATAAACAGTTACCAGAGAAGCCCATGAAGAAAGACACTGCATGTTTATGAGATTAGGCCACACTCTGCAGAAGTTTCTATGCAGAACATGTCGGAAGCACCTACAAGTATAGAAATAAGCTTACTTACCAAAAAATAACATTATTGCTACCGAAGATGACATTAGTTACAAAGACTGATAACAAAGAGAAACGCTTCACCTTTACTGGATGTCAGAACCATCATTGTTTTTACAGAAGGTTTGTTCATGTGGCACTGCCAGCACATTTTGTTCTTATTCTAACAGTGGAAGCTATTTCAAACAAGTTATGTCTGAAACTAAACTATGCAATGAATATAATACAACATATGGCAGTAGTAAATAGGCACTCGAGCAGAAGTGCTTCACAGGTTACTGGAATTCTGCTAATTTTTAAAAGAAGTGAGACATGTAAAAATTTCAAAGCCCCAGCTCATAAAAGAGAAGGCAAAGGCCAAACTAGCAGCAACATTTAAAGGAATGGCTAGATGTATGCACTTCATAGAAGGGGGATAAAAGGACAAGTCAGTAGAGCTGAAAAAGAAAAAATGCAAACCAGCACAAAAGCAAGTATTCTGGCAAAAAATCAACTGTCAGACCGGAGAACGGATACGCATTTTAAGAACTTACTGTTCCATGGCAGAAGGGAATACAAAACATGCATATTTTTATCTTGTGGCAGACACCACTCTCTTCAGTCATCAGCAGGCCACCACATTCAAGAAAGTCTTTTCACCTGGCATCTCAAGACCAAGGCTGCATTTGCCAGCATTTCCTCAGAAAACATGCTTGCAATCTGACTGCTCTTTGGGAAAGCAGAATAGGCAGAAGGCCTAAAAGAAGGTGTAAATGTGGGGAGAGGGCTGGCAATGCTATGGAACAGGATCCTCCTTCTAACACTCAGGGAAACCAAGGGTTAGGAAAGAATGCTATCGCCTTTTTACCTTGGGAGGTCCTCAGAGTCCCACAGGATACACAGGTCCAATGATCCCTGGTCACTTCAGACACACAGTGTTGCTCGTGTCCCGGTGTAAGCATGAAGCACTGAACGCAAACTTCCGATTTCCCGTACCTGTCCCATTCATTCAGCTTCCTCACCACCACCAGCCCACAAAAAGCGATCTAAAAGTAGAAAGCAACCCACACGGTTTGAGATCATCACTTCATTTTGAGACGACCAGAAATCTCCCAGAGTTACTCATTAAGAAAAAAGGATTTCAAAGGGGGGAGGGGGAGGGTGTTGAAAACGACGGCAGGAGTCCTCAGGCCGTGCCCCACAGGATCAACCCAGCAGACGGGCAGCTGCCAGGCTAAGGGACCCTAGGAACGGCTCTGGCAAACCCGGAGTCTCAGCTGGTCGTCCAGGCTGGCCAAGACCCGGCGCTTCGCCCCTCGCAGAAACCAGGGCCAGGCACCAGAACCAGGGCCAGGCACCAGAACCAGGGCCGGGCACCAGAACCAGGGCCAGGCACCAGAACCAGGGCCGGGCACCAGAACCAGGGCCGGGCACCAGAACCAGGGCCGGGCACCAGAACCAGG